AAATACACTGTGCCTACCCCATTGTCTCCAGTAGGGGACTGTTACAACTCAGCCTATTTAAAGGTTGTCATGAATTATTGACTCTTTGGTATGAGGCAATTATAATATGAGTTATAATAACTATCCAATAATCTTTAATATAAGAAAGGAATGGAACTTAACAAGGACTTGGGGCATGAGTGTGTGGACTATGAGGAATTTTCAGTCTAGAAGGAGCAAAGGCCAGCTCGAGGCCACTGAGCAGCTGGTTATTCCCAAGCAATTTTGCTTTGAGTGCGTCTATAAACAGATATTTTCCTTATCTTTAAAAATCAGTGGATGAGGCCTCTGGGAATTTGACTAGGATAGGAAAGATAGACTTAGATTTAGTACCTTCTTTTAACTCCTTGGGGAAAGAGTGTTAGTTTATTTCATAAAGTCTCTATTTTCTGATTAAAGACCAATGATAGAAGCAGTGTTGAATCAAAAGCAGTAATGATTTTATTTTCTGAGTTGTGGAAGTATTTGGTGCTATTTTTAGTTTTTGAAGAAATAAATTTGATTTCTTTATTTCTTTTGTAGCTAAGGCCTGAATTCCTTTAGGTTCTCAAATATTTTTTGAATTGAAATTATCATCCACAACAGCCANCCAGGAGATCGAGGTTCGATTCCCAGTCAGGGCATATGCCCAGGCTGCAAGCTCAATCCCCAGCAGGGGGCGTGCAGGACTCTCTCATCATTGATGTTTCTATCTCTCTCTCTCCCTCTTCCTTCCTCTCTCTGAAGTCAATAAAAATATTTTTTNAGTCAGGGCACATGCCCCGGCTGCAGGCTCCATCCCCAGTTGGGGGCCTGCAGAAGGCAGCCGATTAATGAGGACTCTCTCATCAATGATGTTTCTGTCTCTCCCTCTCCCTTCCTCTCTCTGAAATNAATATTTTTTAAAGAAAGAAAAGAGAAAAGCCTAGAGCCCTAGCCAGTTTGACTCAGTGGTTAGAGCGCTGGTCTGCAGATTGAAGGGTCCCGGGTTCAATTCCAGCCAAGGGCACATACCTCGGTTTGCAGGCTTGATCCCTGGTCAGGACAGGTGCAGAAGGCAAACAATCAAACACATCCATCCTGGAACACAACTCCAAGCTCTGAGAACAATTTTTTTTCTCTCTCTCCCTCCCTTCCTCCCTCCCTCTCTCTCTTCCTCTTCCTCCCACTCTTTCTGAAAAGCAATGGAAAAAACATCCTTGGGTGAGGATTAAAAAGAAAAAGCCTAGAAACTCTATTCCTCTCTACCTAAGTAGGTAATAAAAAATGTCTTCAACTGAAAGCCACACAAGCACGCCCAGTTCATAAAGTTCAAACAGTGCTGCTATTGTACAATGTACTTAATACACATCAGGGCATCTATGTGTGTATAAGACTCTCTCTCTCTCTCTCTCTGGCACAATGGCCATTGAAATACCAGCTTAAACTGTTCCTCATTTTACTGGCTTTGTGTTCCATAGTGTTAATCTCACTTAGTCTATCAGAAAACCACAATTTCAACTCAACATCAGGTTTGCTGTTTCTCACCTAAGTTGGACTTTTAAGAATCTGTTTTACAGTTGAAAGAAAAACTTGACATTGAGAACGTCTAATGATAAAGAAAGAAAGGAGAAAATTAATTAGCAAAAGGAAAGAGGGAGTAAGATATGGGGAGAAAGAGTTCAGCTGATAATGAAACCGGCTGCTTGGGTGTGAAAGACGATAACAGTTGGGAGAAATGTGGCCAGGCTGTCAAGAAGGACCTTTTAGACAAAAATATCACTCATCAACCAAAGGCTTCAGAATTAGGAGGGCCTGATACCGGCTAAATAGAACTCTTCACTTTCTCTGCTCAGTGCTCTGAGTCTTAACCAGCTTCTTTACTGCCTTAACTTCTTTACTACTTTTACTTTAACCTTTACTGCTCACTAAAGTCTTACTTCTAGAGGGCCTTTGTACCTCCCAACTCGCAGTGTGAGCTTCCTCTGATTTCCTCCTAACCAGAAATTTGCAGCAGTGCATTTCCCTTTAGGGAACCAACCTGGCCTCCTGGCATGACACATCTGTCCTACAACACAGCTCCAAGCTCTGAGAACAATTTTTTTTTTAAATCCTCACCTGAGGGTATTTTTCCATTGCTTTTCAGAGAGAGGAGGGGGGGGGAGGGAGAGAGGG